AATACATTCAGAACAGCATTTTTGAAAATGTGGCCTGACCTCAGATGGATTCGAGTTGAGCATCATGAGGCGAAGCTTTTGCGGGCTGACGCTCGTGAAGTAAACGTCAAAGGAGTGACCAGTGGCTACGATACTGTGGAAGAGGGAAAGTCTCCTCTGGCAGGTGTAGCCAGAACACCAACCGTGATCCTGAGGACCTGGACACAAACACACAAAACAGAGTTTTAAACTCATTCTGCTGTTTTTGAACAGACCGTCAGCACCCAAGTATATGATGGAAAACTTTTCCTTATCCTACCGTTGATCAGATCCACGTAGCCGTCTCCAACCACAGCGACGGGGGACAGACGTCTGGTCTCCGTGTCAGCGTCGAGACTTTCAATCACCAACATCCTGTAGTTCAGGCCGAAGCACTTGTAGCTCTGCCAGGAACTCATGTAGGTGCATGTTCTCCTGATCACACCTACGCACAGATTTTTAACTAGATATATAACACTTTCCAGGAAAACTCATGACCACCGCAGAACACTAAATTTACCCATTAAGCAATAAACCAAAGTAAGAAATAAGACAGGAAATATCAGACACTAAGGTATCTGGCTGGAAAAATGTATTCATTAACTGATAAGATATCATTTTAAACTGAATTCAGTAGCTTGAACTTACTGAAAATAGAGCCTGATTATTGTAAATCAACGGAAATAATAAACATCTACCAGACACACTATTGTATCTCTTCCACCAAGCTCTAGTTACCTTTGTTTGGAGCAATCTGGTTCACCGGGATTCGGCTGCCATTGAGGGCTGTCAGCATAACTTTGGGGATGCGATAGTCGCCCAGCCCCCTCCTGGGATCTCCTCCCCACTCATATTCAGATTGCGGCACCACAGCGCCCACTGCCCCTAGGAACGACCCATCCAAGTCATTCAACAAGCTCTTCTTCTTCGCGTCACAGTCCATGTCCACACAGTCAGCAGGGTTTACTTTACTGGGGCACAAAAACATTAGATTTTACTTGATCAAAAGCTTGAATAAAAAAAAAAGAAAAAAAGCATTTAAAAAGGTTTTACAGCTTAAATTCTAAAATGAAGCAGCAGCAATTAAAATGTAAGATGCCCGTAGAGTGCACAAGGTTAAGTTGGCATCACAATCACGATTCCTGTGCCGCCAAGTTGACCTTTTTTTGTGAATAGTTGAATACCACATTTTCCATAAAATACATCAACAAATACCCAGCTTAAAAGGTCAAAGCTTTTCACGCATTTTCACACAAGTTGTTGCGGAAAATCTGCATCATTATGTCAAAGAGTGGAGGTTATTGGTGGTGATGTCACAGTCATGTGATTGTAGTTTTGTTTAACATCAGCACTTCACTTCTACACTTTGAAAACCATGCAAGCGGTGTCAGTTTGTGAAGATTACCTTGTTGAATAAAAGGTTCATTTTTGCCAGCTGACTTACAAAACATGTCTTCACCATGTGAAAAACACATTTTTACAAGTTATTGCCTTTTATTTTTTTTAGGTTTCTTATATAAACAGATTTCTAATCAAAGCCTTAGCCCTCCTGACATCTGTTAGCATGGAGTGACCTACCCCAAATCAGGTCTGTGAATAAACACTTTGGCCTCGTCTGTGCTGTTGATCATCTGAATGCCTGAAATCTGCACAGGGTGCTGCAGGTCTTCATTCAGTGGGTTTGTGATGAACATGACGTTTGCCTCAGAAGAGCAGACATTTCTGAAGTTGACAAATGTTGTGTCTACAAAGAAAGCCAGTGCAATCAGGAGCAGTGTTGGTCAAGTTACTTGAAAAAAGTAATCAGTAACTAATTACTGATT